GAGTCCCTAGGTCTGATCAGGGGTAACCATGCCCCACGGATGGTTTGCCACTTGCGTGAAAAACCAGGGAGGGTGTTCGTGTGTTTGGATACGGACAGGTATTGATCGACCGCAGTAACGGATACATTCGCAGATAGGAACGTAGACATACCATTTTGGGGTTCTTGTGTTTGTGACCCCTGCTTCTCTGTTTTCCGGAAGCACTCTTCTTCTTCTCTTCTCTTGCTTCTGCGTTTCTAATACAAGCGATATTCAGTCTCTCCCTTCCAAGTCGCGGACATATACAACATGATATCGTCTTTGCATCACCACAGGGTTCGGGAGTACTTCTCAACTACCTCCAAGTATGTGTTTCCTCGTGAGTCAAAAGAAGAGTTCTTAAGGGGAAACACTGGACTTCTTCGAAGGTCCGGGGCTGCTTGGGGTCCTTCTCCTTCATCTGACCCGTTTTGCAGAACCCCAAGAACTGTTCCTCCTTTCCCCCAGAGTTCCCTCTTATGTCCGTGTGTCTTCTTTACTAGACTATTAGTGGTTTTTTGTTTTTGGAGAACCGCTCCGATAGGGGTGCCGTTTTTGCTTCAGTAAGAAACAAATGTTTGAGGTACTCGCGTAGGCGATGTGTGCACCTTCAAAACTAGAAAACTCTCGCACGAGCGCCGTGCCTTTTGCATCGCCTGTTCCTCTGCTTCACGGGCGAGACTAACCCAACTCCAGGTATTTCCTTCAACAATGGAAGCTATATTACCCTACGCTCTATTCGTAACCCCACCACAGCTACAGGACAATAGGCCCGTTCCAGCCGGGAGTAACCCTCCGAGAAGGGTTCTCAGGCGAGGACAGAATGTGTCCGGCAGACGACGAGAACATATTTTGTCACACCGCATGGAATTGAGGCAGAAAGTTCACATACCAACATGATATATCACCATGTAATCCAAGGGCACACTGTAGGAGGGCCTGCGATTGAAGCCCACCTTACCCCGCAGGCTTCAGGCTTAACCTATTTTAAACGTCGCGTATCGAGTGTATTAAAACGAATCTGGCATGCGCAGCTGGATTTTACATTGATCGGCACCATTACAAACCCCTACCTCCCTTGTCGCTGCGTGCGTGTGTGTGCCGACAACACAGCCTGAGGACATGAGGATGCTCCGTGCCATTCTAGGAAGGAAGAGCAGCTGGGGTAATCTTTCCGCGAGCTCGTGTTGCGGGATCATCTGCGGGATAGTGCTCCTCTTCGAGGCGGAAGGATGTGCCGATGTCGACGCGGACCTGAAACATATTTTTCCCGATGACGATCGACGCGCGACCATCCTCTTTCATGACAAGGCCTGCGTTCTGGACCGCTACCTGAGCGCCCGAGGGGGTCTGTCCTGGGTTGGAACGATGCTGATCGTCGACCGGTACGTGACACGTGGGCCTGTGTTTCCTAATTACCCGGGCCTATGCAACAAGAGACTACCTAGATCTCGGCGTAAAGTAGGGCGTTCTCTCAGTGAGTAAGTTACTCACAGCGGCAGGTCGGGCGTTCTAAGTTGTAGTTGACGGGGCATTGGGGGGGCACGTGTACAGTGTGTCGAAAATCCAAAGTGGAATGAAGTACCATCGTCGAACACATACCCCCACCGTACCCAATACCCGTGTTGTGCGCATATCGCTCGGGTGGACGCCGACAGGTTCCATTATCGGGGCCATGGGGAGCTTGCGTGCTCTATCCTCAACAACCCAAACGACTACGATAACCCTATTCTGTGGAGCTTGCAACAAAACCCACCCGAGTTCTACTGGAACTCCTCCATCGCCGAGTCCAACAATGGGTGGATAAGCGGCCGTCAGATAGATCCTGCGTCAAACCAATAGCAGTTGCTGGTTAACACCGTCATTGCAGCCCCCCGTTGATGTACTTTACTACATAGCTGCTCACTCGTAGTCCGTGGTGTTTCATCCATTTTCGGTCGAGTGTTTCAGTCGACAGGCTAGTTACCTCCGACTACGTTAACTACCCTTACTTGTTCTGAAACGCATGCCTCGCTTGTTGACCACGCTTTCGACATGTCCTCATGCGCATGCCAAAGGTGCTGAACCGTTTCGTCTTGGGCAACAACATCTTGTTCACGAACGAGCTCCTGCTGACCAAAAAGCTGTTGTCCCAGCACCCGACCATTAACCGTTCGTGAAGCACGCACAACACATTCGGAACGGCAGGTGGTAGAAGTAAGGAACCGCACAGCTCCCGTTGCCATTGTTTTTGTCCTCCTATGGTGTGTCGAGAGCGAACAAGAATTGCTGTCGGTGGATGTGAGTTCCCCGGTGCTTTTTAACTATGTACCAGAGAGGAATTCCACCCGCACGGGTGTCCTGGGGTGATGGGCTAAAGCATGGACTTGGTTACACCATTCGCGCTGCCTAATGGGACTACTTTACGTATATTCGAGCCGTTTAGGTTGCTCCCTCTTATCTAGCTGCGTCGTGTCACTTTAATAGGCGACCTTGCGCACTACAGTGGGTTTACGCGAATGGGGTGACCTTGTTGTCGTTGTTTTTTTTGTCCCATTGCACGGTTGATATTGTAGATTGCCAACGTTTCCCGGTATGGGGTTCCTTCCTGACGTGGGTGTTGTCTGTTCACGGGCAGGCATGTGCCGTGCGTATGTCAACATCGTGGTTCCGACTAGACTATATATTTTTTCCTTGCTGCGTCGTACACGGTGTACCGACGATATTCTACGATTCCCGATGCGGAGTTCGTGGTGAACGTGTCGAGCGTGGATTTTGCGACCGTGGATTTTTTTTGGTGCTGTACGTGGCTGCATATTTTTTTTTCACCGCATCCCTTTTGGTGGCGTCACGTACTCATGTTCGTGTTTCCTTCGTGGTTCTTCGGGTCCGAGCCAAATAGTTCCGAACTAGGCAAATACAGCAAGGGGTAAGGGATTCAAGTCGTGGCAGAAGCGATCCCGCCCCATGGCGCGTAAGAGGGCTTCAACCACGTGGACGCGAGATGGTCATGACATACAGGGTTTCAAATCGTCGCCGAAGCGAACCCCCAGGCCAAATAGCTTTCTGTTCCTTTCTTTATCGCTCCGCTAGGTTGTATGCACACGTTCGTGCGTGCCCGTTTAGGTGACAAAAGGGTTTCAAACCAAACCCGAAGCTTTCTCGCCCCGTGGCCCTCTTCATCGCGTCGTGGTTTTCCGTTTCTTTCTTTGTCTCGGTGCAAAAAATTGATACTTTCGCCCATAAGCAAGTGCACATACCACGTGGGTACCCATGGGTACCACGAGCATTACCCATGGGTCACCATGGGTACCCATGGATACCCATGGGCATTGCCCGTGGGTACCCATAGGTACCCATGGGCACCCATGCTGATGCCTAACTCTAACCCATGATCATCAGCGTGGGTAGCCATGGGCACCCGTGGTGATAACCGTGGGTAGCCATCCATGGGTACCAGTGGTGTAGCACCCGACGGGTGCCCACGGGTACTCATCATGACCACCACGGGACCTATTTGTCCCGAATAAGAAAAGACGAAACGTCTTGGAGCCTTCTAACCAACAAAACCCACCTTCAGCGTTCAGATCAACAAGTAAGTATGATGGAGGAGACCTGCGCAAGGCCTCGGCGTGCGTGTGCACGGTACGAAACATGGGAGATACAACAACGAGCGCCTAGCCTAGCGCCGTGAATCTGAGTGAGGACACACTGACAGGGTTTCCTCCACGCCCACACGAAGCCAGTTGTTTTCGTTCAGTCTCGCTCACGAATGGTCCTCTCGCTTCCTCATACCACATGCCATTCGATACCTTACTTTCTAACATTCTTGCGCTGAGCTGGAGTGTTGGATTCACTAACCGTGGTGTGAGCTCCACGGAACCTTGGGTGTACTACCTCACTGCGGCCGCGACTTTGTCGATCCCGCCTATTCGATCTTGGTACCCGTTGTGATCCCCGTGGTGGTGAGAGCCATTCTGGTCCCCCATGCGGCGTGGGTACCCATGGGTACCCATGGACACGAATTACGATAGTGTATATGATTGGTTCCTTCAACATGGATGGGCGGGGGTGAACTTTCATTTTGTCACGGTGGCTTGAGAAGGAGTTTGGTTACAGGCGACCCTTGGCGCCCTCACTAGCTCACCCATATCTGCGCCTGTACACCCAAGACTCGGAACGCCCAGAGACATCCTTACCACACCAATGTCCTCATGATCTGAGAGCAAACTGGTCAGCCGTTGTGTCATACAAAGTGCCGTGGTCGCAGGCCGGTGATGTTTCTCTTTTCTAGATTTTTGGATGCGGAGACCAGCGGGCCGACTGATCACTCGCCAATTACTGCTGTGTACATATCCCAACCAACCTCCACCATCTGCAAGGTCTCTGCTTTGCTCTGCACCTCTGCTGACACTGGCACGATATGGCTTGACTGCTAGAAACTACATCTGGGGCAGCTGGTTGCAGCAGCAGTTTAGATCCGACAGACGTCCAGACGTTTTGGTCTTCATGGATTCCTACATATGTTGCGGCGAGACCATAGGCCAGATTAGAAATCTCGCGTCCGAATTCAAGTGTGAATTCGACTTGTAGTTGCACTGTTCGCTGAAATACTTCTGGACGCACCAGATGGAAGAGTGAAACAACCGCGGTTGGTTACACGATTACAGTACAGTACATGACCTATTGGTACTGTACAGTAGTACATAAGCAAGATGCTTACCTGCAGAGAGACGCAGGTTTTGTTCGGGATCTTCCTCTTGCTGCTTGCAGGGTGACTAAGAGGGGGAGGAGGAAGAGTGATGGCTTGTTGTGTGTGCAGGGTGCGATGAAAACTTGGCGTTCGATCTTGCATACCGTGCCTATGCCCTACCCGGCCTGCCCCCCCCGACCCAGGGGTAGGCCGAGGTTCCGCAAGTGGATCTAGACCTCGAAAGACCACCCAGCAAAGACGAATATACGGTCCCTAGCACTGTTGAGAGGGGGATCCTGAGTTTGGCGGTCGGGAGTTACTGCTGTCGTGAGATCGGGGTAGCTCGTGAACCGCCAGCTTTGGTAGCTGCAAAATGAGACCGGATCCTGACGCCCCGGCTTGGACACCGGGGCCATGCAGCAGCAGAGAGCACGGTGAGGATGGCGGAGTGACCGCACGCCGTGGGGGTATGCCCCATCGCATACGGAAAGGAGAGAGTCCAGAGATGGAGGGCCACACCGCTCCGGGACAAGAAGACACCTCTTTGGTCAACAAGGCAAGAACCGGGGTAACTATCACGTTGTTAGCCCGAGTGTTCGCAAAAAAAAGAGCAAAAAGACAAAAAAAGAGGGGAAGATGGAGGAAAAGGAGGGGTCGGGCGGCGCGTAGGCTCGCTAAGAGAGTAGCGCGCGCCGCGCCAAGGAGACAGCAGGGTCAGCTTCTTAGGGTAGCAACCTGGAACGTGCGGACTTTGGCTGTGAACGGGGCCAATGGATACGGGCGAGCCTACAGCGTTCTACACGAGGCAGCGAGACAAGACGCATCGGTGGTAGGAATGCAGGAGACAAGGAGGGCAGGTCGAACGGAATTTGCAGCAGCGGGTTTCCGGGTGTTCTGCTGTGGCACGGAGACTGGTGGAGTCCATGGTGTGGGGATAGCCGTCAAAGAGTCACTGTGCAAGACATCCACGTTCACTACGGAGTTTGTCGACGAACGCCTTATGGCCATGAGGTTTCAGCTGGCAGGCCATCGTGGAGCGGTCAACTTCGTAGCCGCGTATGCTCCAACCGAGCCTTCAACCGCCGACAGCAAGCGCGTGTTCTGGGGGAAACTTGACAGTCTCGTGCGGAGGATCCCTTCCAAAGAATGTGTGTATGCCCTAATGGACGCCAACGCGCGAACGGGAGATAGGTTGGACGGAGGGGACGAAAGGGTAATAGGAATGTACGGGTGTGACGAGCTCAACGACAATGGCATGCTACTGTTGAACGTCGCAACGGAAAACAGGCCAGCTCTCACGAACACGTTCTTTGAAACACGCAAGGCCGGAATATGGCACAAATACAAGGGTGTGGCGGGAACCGATTGCAAGCGCCTTGACTACATCCTGACAAGGCAGGCACATCACGGCCGAGTATCTAACGTGGTTATCATCCCCCAGCCGGTTCGCCCAGTCAAAGCAGACTCAGACCACAACATGGTAGTAGCCACCGTCAACCTCGGTGGCAGGCTTGCCCACAACCGTGCAGTCCGGACCAAACCGAAACAGAAGCAATTCAATCGACGGGAATTGCAGTTCGAAGCAGCACGGTGTGCGGTGACTAATCGGTTCCTCCTCAAACTCGACAAACGACTGGACGAGCGAACAACCACCGCCGCGGAATTGGCGACCGCAGGAGTGGTGTGAGACCCCAGAGACGCGAGCGGCGCTGGAGCAGGCCCTTAGCAAACGTCGGGAAGCGCGCCGGGCGATGAGGGGCAACTGGAACTCAGCAACGTGGAGGGTTCTCAAAGCAGCGTGTAAGGGAGTGGCTACAGCAGTCGAAACGGGCATTTATGCCCACCTGGACGGGTATGTGACTGAACTCGAAGAAATCTACAAAGATCGCGACATGCGAGGACAGTGTCAACACCTCAAGAGATCAGTGGGCCTCAGCGGGAGACAAGCGGGGGGACAGCAGTTCGTTGCGGATGAGAACGGCGTGTTGCTCCGGAACAGGGACAACATCCTCCAGCGGTGGGCGAGATTCTTCAGCACCCTACTCAACACCAAATCTCCCACCCTGAAACCAGGCATCATCGAACGAGTGCCGCAGCGGCCAACGACACCTGACACTCAGCGGTTGGGAGATGTGCCAGAACTCGAGGAGGTGGCACGGGCAACGAAAGGCCCGAAGAACTGGAAGGCACCCGGCCATGACTCCTTCCCTGCCGAGTTGCTCAAGATCGACGACGACGAGCCCTTCGTCCTGAGACACCTCCATACCATCCTCGTCAAGGTGTGGAACGGAGGAGATATCCCACGAGAGTGGAAGGATGCAACCATCAAGGTGCTGTACAAGAAGGGTGACCGGTCCAACTGTAACAACTACAGGGGGATTTCGCTACTATCTCACGTAGGCAAGGTCCCCATCAAGATCATCACCAACCGTCTAAGCGCCTTNTGGAGGG